ACTTGTATGTCTTTGCACTCATTTTCATGAAATGTTTTTAATCCTGAACTCATGACTCACAACCTTATTTCTCCAAGTTGTTCACCCAGGCAGTCTTAGAACATCATTTTACTCCCTGCATTTATGGCAACACTTAATCAGGTATCTAAAATACTTCATAACACTGAAACTTTAATCATCTGTGCTCCTAGCTAGCATTATTATAGCCGTGCTTTCCCAATAACCAGGATCCTGATTTCTGGCTGTGGCAAGTCATAACTTCTATATAATGTGCACTGTGTGTAACACACAAAAAAAATAATGGCTAAACCCTGATCTTGTCAAAGACCAACAACAAAACGTCAGTGGGGACAGCATTTCATCCTGTCTTCAAGTGACACCTCTATATTTCAAGTAGAAACAAAACATAACATGCAGCTTTGTAGTGATAGCTGTGCTACTAATTCAGAAAAAGTTCTGTAATAGAGCTACTGCCTATTTGCTAAAACGTGCTATGAAGGAATCAAATTATGACAAATTATGCTAAAATTATGTGGATCAGCAAACAAGGTCAGGCAGATTCTTGCCACTGTCAGTACACGCAGCGAGGGCAGTTTAGACACATGCAAGAAGCAGTTTTACATCCTTACTGAGGGATGTGACATTGGGCCATGCATTGTGACAGCTGGCCACAGAACTCCAGACTGGGCGGATAGTGGCTGGTTCTCCACTGACAGCCTCCAAATTGAACCAAAAAGTGGATATTTCAGCAAGACTGGAAGGCCCACCACATAGTACAAACATAGTTATTTCAAAGACCTACTTCATACAAGGTTAAACTATCTTTTTAACATCTACGTGCTTCCCACATCTTCTTTTCTGGCCTTCTCTAAGGTTTTTGAAGTCTCTAGGCTATTTTTCATGTTCATCTTGTGTTACTGTGGCTTCTCTAACTGGATTCTGTAAAAAATTATAATATAGCTAATTACTCCAAACGTTCATATTTCTAGGGATTAAGAATGAGCTTTCATTTATATGATCTGGTTTTTAATCATCAAATTGCTGACCTAGAATCATTATTTAGAGAGAAAAAAAGAAAAAAAAAAGAGAGAGAGAGAGAAAAGAAATGTTTGGAATATTAAGGAAGAAAAGTGCTTGTCTTGCAAATATTGATGCCAATTTCCCCCAAGTGCCTATAACCTAATAACCAGATACATATAGTTCTGATAATTGACTCATTTACATAAAAATCATTGCCAGCTTGATTGTAACAGTCACCATATGCAAGTTGGCCAGGACTAGAAATCATCACAATTAACCCTCTGAGAGACCCTTTACACCTTTGCAGATACAGCTCTTGGCACAGAGCATGAATTTTCTCTAGAATGTTGTGAGGCATTAACAAAAACACCTTTCACGCTGAAAATACATTGGACCTATATTTGGGACTGGAGAATACCCATAAGAGGAGGCTGTCTGGTTTTCAAGTCAAACCTTAGGATGTACTAGATCCCTTTACTCCAGCTTGTATGTTCTCACAGTAGTAAAAAAAAAAATCTAACAACATGAACATTGGACTTCTGCATCTGCGTGGTCTGTTGTTTTTCAAATTAATAATTGCACATTGAATTTGAAGAACCTCATGCACACAATGAAAGCTATGCTCTTAATATGCACATGAATGTGTAGTGTTATGGAGCATGAAAGTGGTAACTGCGCTTTGCTTCCATTTCCTAACTTTTTCATGCAAAAGAAACATGTAATACATGAATATTTTTGCATGCAGTATTTCTCACATGCATACATGAAGAGCAAACTCTGTACATGTAAGATTATGGCTTTCATCCTAGAACAGGACTGAATTCTCTTTATTTTATGGATATTTGCATTTTGCTGACTAATTCTTTGAATCTTTCAGCTTTGCTCTCTTGATAACGTCAGCTTTTAAATCCAATTTGTAAGTTACCTTTTCAGAGTTTTTTTTTTTTTCATTTTTGAAATTCTGAGTAGCAGCAGAAATTTATCAAGTGAGTTCTCTTCCTGGCTTTAAGACCAAAGCTGAAACCTGAGCTGTTTTATTTGGTATGCAATGAATGAGCTTTGATTTGATTTTTATTGTATTTCATTCAAACTTTATTATAAAACATCTCCCAGGGACACTTGCACAAGAAACACTTTGCAATTAAAACCAGCATTCTATTTCCAGTCTTCCATTTTCAAAGGTTATTATAACATTTTTACCATGCTTGCTTATCTCCATAATATACCACTGTATGGCAGGCAGCTGCAGATGTTAGGTAATAGAGCTAGATGTCTCTGTAGGTTTTTCTAATGGCTTTCTTTCCCTGTACCATGAACAGGATTCACTGTCATTAACCCAGTGACCAGCACTTCTGCATTTTGACTGTAGGCAGTCCTAAGGCAACTGTATTTCCACTGTTCTTTGACTTTAGCTTTGTCTTGACTTTTTTTTTTTTTTTTTAATTGACATCAAATGTTATAAGATTGTTAAAAATGCCTCTCCAAATACCACTATAATTTAAATAAGGTAGGTGTTTTTGTGGATGGTTCAACAGTGAATTTAATGTCATTCCCAGTAGTTGGTTCCTCCTCTAGAATTGAGCCACCTTTAATTTTCAGTGGAACAACTGTGACTTTCAGCAGCTGGATAATTTCAGGATCATAATTGGCTGTATGAAGTGTTTTCTTTATACTATCTTTCCTTTTAAAACATTGCAGTTTGGAACCAAATGATATAAATTACTCATTCCATATCACTTTTTCTAATTGGCTTTTGATTACTGTTTTTCTTGATCTCAGAGAAACCTTTTGTAAGTGTTAACAGGATGTCAGTGTCAGTTTGATCCTGCTTCTATTACAATCATGGGCCAAAAATCCTTCTGGGTCACATCCTCTGAGTGGATCACATCCCTGTGGATCTTCTAATGCACTTTATAAAATGTACCCAGTAAATCCAATAACAACAGAAATATGATTTAAATACACAGTGCACAGATGGTTCCAAAAAAAGCAAGCTGCAGCTTCACTTTGAATTTGTGTTTATAAAGATTTACTTTCCTTATAAAAATAACCCGTAAAAGTCTTTATCAAGATTTATCCAGCTCAGCTAAGAAAATAAAGCAGTAACTACAAGCTGATCGGTGCAATAGCATTAGTACAAGCACATTAAAGTCCTCCTTAAATGCAAGTGAGCAGGACCATGGCCAACTGCAAAGAGAAAGAGAACAGTTAACATGCCAGTGTTATAGACTTGCCTAGTGGCTTAGTAGTTTTCACTGAACCTTTCTGTTACACTGGCTTACCTGAAACAAGGCACAAATAAATCAGATTAAAGATTGAGCTGCTTAGGAGAGCAACACCAGTACAGCAAATTTCCTGGCAAGATAACTACTATTTTCTGCATCAGATGGCTGCTCCAAGCTGCCGTGCTGAGCAGGGGTGGATTCCTAATTCATTTTGAAATGTACTTGAGCGAAAACCTTTAGGAAGGTTTTACGTACAAATACTTGAAAAGGGGTGAGTCTCCTATCCTCTGGTTTTGTTCATATGCTGTTTGGCCTCTCTGTACAAGATCATGAGGCATCAAGCAGTAAGCTATTAATGTCTGCGTCATGACAAGGCTCTGCAGCAATTATCAATCTTTGTATGGTCTTTGGCTATTTGTCCCCTTAAAGCACTCCAAAGAGCAAGCTTTACAGAGGGCCAGCTCCAGGGCTGAAGTGAATGCTGGTGCATTAAGGCACAGTTTGATAAGAGAATTTTCAAGTGGCGGTGGTGCTGGCACAAGCAGCTGCCATACCAAATGCCCATTAGCAGGCACTTGTTCCCGTCTCTATGCCTCTTTGTGCTGTGCCAGTATAGGCAATTTTGTAGCTTCATGGCAACATGGACTATGAAATGATCTGGCTGCAAAAGACTTTTTCAAGTTCTGCAGCTGAACTACAGATTTAGCTTCTTTTATATGCATTTAGGAGTTCTAATTGCATCACGAGTAAGTATCTTAGCTTCGGCTGAGACTGCTAAGCAATGAGAGCAGTGAGCACACCGCAGCCTGGGCTGCTCTAGCCAGCCCGAGATCACACAACTGCTAGGGTCGACGGTCAGTCTTCACTGCAAATCATTGCGCCTGGCTTGTGTACATTATCTATTAAGCTTAAAGTCACATCTCACAGCTCAAGGTAATTGTTATGTAAACATTACAGACATCTCGAATACAAAAATGAGTTATACTGTGGTCAATGGGAATTTTGCCATTGATTCCAGTAGGTATTTGTCCTTAAAGCATTGTTACTGAGGGATGCTGGAAGGAATAAGGAAGTTAAGAATCCTTAAACCTTTGTATATTCTATTAGCTGGAATTTAAACTTAACTGCAATCTGGAAAGACCTATCCTATGAACAGCACACCATTTAGCATGACTCCCTGGGACATGATCCACGTAGAGACATTGGCTATGATCCTTCTTAAATGAAGAAAAGGGAGACAGAGACCACGCCACCAACTGTCACAGAGTACAATAGTCACTGCTGCAATTTTAATCTCAGCTATTTAAGAGGACTAGAGATATTATTTTTGTATATATTAGAGTAGCGATAACCATCTCTGCATATAATAGCAAAATCAGTCCTTCCATTGGTTTGCCTTCTATGAAATGCAAAGGGCATATATTATGGGAGACATGGTTATAGGTGCTGTCTTGTTGTGGGTGACTATCATTGTAATCAAGAGTAGAAGTCAAATACCTTACTCAGAGAGAGCTTACCTTACAGATATATCAGTCTGAGCATCTAGCCTGTCATTCTGGATGAATTTAGAAAAATGCAGACAAGTGATAGACACTGAAATGTCTGATATGACATTTGAGAACCAGATTAAGCATGGGGTTTCTCCCTGTAGGGAGAAAGATCAGTCTCCCCTGTATAGAAAAAAAAATCAGTGGGTTTCCAGCCTAGTGTACTATAAGAAAACAAAGCAGTTAGACAGCTTTCTGATCAGTCTTGTCCAACAAAATAACCACATTTATTTATTTGCTTTGCTGAGGCTTTTTAACTTCAGGGAAATGCCAGTGAATCTCCCTGTTTGTTACTAACAATGTTTGTAACAAATGTTCCATACCCTGCAAAACTTGTCTTAACGTGAAAGATTTTTAGAATCTCAGGTCTCATGTATTATAAATTACCTGTCAATTCAGCTAAGATTTTTTACTTGTGCACACTGGTGGGCTGCATAATCCCCAGTAAAAATTCTGTAAGTCAGCAAGTAGATGTCACATTGTTTACACATTAACAAGATCCTAAAACCCTCTTATGCATATTCTGTAGGCAATTTCTTACATTCAACAGTACCTTTTAGTGGCCAGTTAAATGCATTACAGATTTGTTATGGAAACCCCCAGGGACTAAAGGCAGCTGCCTTCATATCAATTCAGGTAATTCAGGTCTCAGTTACCCAGTAAATCTGATACACTTCTGTAAACCACCTTTTTTTTCTGCTTGATAGCAATTGTGTCCATCTAAACTGCATAATTTATTAAATCAGGTCTGCTTTAAGAAACATACAGTTCACTCATTCTTCTAATTACTACTGTTCGAATTCAGCCTCAATTAGTGACCTCTTAATTTTATGAGATTAGTTCTGCCTATATAGAAGTGTGACTGGCTGTGAAGGCACATGCACTCAGCCTTAGATTTCTTCTACTAAATGTATTACACTGTTTAACATCCCTCTTTGTTTTCCAGGGAAGGGATGAACAAAATACCATTAGCTGCAGACACCCAGTCTCTCCTTTCCCAGGAAGGCTTTGATTGGTGTGTACAACTGTGTTACCAAAACCAGGGAGATGGCAAAGGTGCAATAACACTATTATTCTACCACTGTATAACATTCTGTGATCTCTGGATCTCAGCATAACATTACAGACATCACCCCCTCTAAAAACACAATAAAGCAGCCCCACAAAACAAGTAGGGATGTATTGGTATAAGTATTTTTACATGGATGAGCCTAGGCACAGAGACCAGATGCCCAAGTCTGATGACTGAACTAGAAACAAAGCCCAGAGGTTCAGATTTCAGATCTGTGCTCTAGTTACAAACCAACGCCTCCCTGTGCTCCTCCTCCTGATGCTGAAAAGCTTGAGAGCCTACTGAATGGGTATCATAGCTTTTTATGTTAGGATTTTGCAGTTGTTTCAGCCACGTCTGAAAAGAATGAGTCAGGGATTTGTGTATGTGGGAAGTGGTTTCCTCTCACATTACCGTATGTATGGATGAAATACATTTCCTCTACTATGAAGTTGCTGAATGAGAAAATAAAGTAGTGCAGCTGACTGTCATTTCAGTGACTGTACTTCGACCCTGGTGATGAAAAGCCAGTGGCCTCAGGAGGCTGGTTTGGCTAATGCATTTCATAGAAAAGCTGGTGAAGGCACTTACATTCTTGTAAAGAATGATTAGAAAAGGATAAAACGAAGAAAAATAACAAAGCAAAACAATACTCAATATGATAAACTAGAGACTAGGTTCTCTAGGGAAACCTGGCCTGACTGAAACTTCAGGACAAAATCTAGCTTGAAGACGTGATCTATAATGCAATAATGAAGATGCCTCCCTCTGTGTTTCAGACAGCTTTTGCAGCAACTAGTGTTCAAGAGTCAGAGATAATGATAATGGCTTCTGCCTGCAATCATTACAGCTATGGCACGCACAGTATGCAAGGCATTTAGCATCAAACTTAACAGCATCATGCAGCGAGACAGTGGCAAGAGTAAGAAGAGCACGGGTCACTTGCCTTCCCTCCCAGCTCATGGCCAAAAGGCCAGTGACACAGCAGAAAAAGTAGAATTTGGTCTGGGACCTGAACCTGCTCAGAGACATGTCCTCAAATCCAGGAAGCTGGTATGGCTGTCCTCTGTCCTTCAAAGCTGATTCTTTTCTGGAGCATCAGGCACCTGAGCAGTCTGGAGCCTGGTGAACACCTTGAATAGCTGTTCCCATCTTCTGGGGAGACGAAGGAGTGAACAGGCTGATTAGGCAAGTGGGCTGAGGCAGGAGTAGGGAAAAAGAAACAGAACAAACCTGTGCAAACTTGAAGAGGACTCTGAGCTGCTGAGGGGAGAGCTACAGCCAGCAAAAGACTTGGAGAAGGAAGGAGGCATAGGCCAGGTCAAAAAGATTTCCCCAGTTGTCCCTTAACTCAGCAAGGAACTTAAGCTTAGTTTTGAATTGAAGGCTGGAAGAGTTCCATATATTTAAAGAACAGCACTTTATTTGAAATACTTGATGAGATATGCAGAAGACAGAGTTGCCAGGTATGTGTTAAAAAGGGATCCTACTGCTGTCAGTAAAGAACTTCTAAAAATAATGTTATACATATGTATATAAAACACATACAACCATACATCCTGGAACACTTAAATGCATTATTTTTTTTTTTTGAAGGTAATTTCTCCTAGCGAGGCAGGCAAGTCTGCCAGGAGCCACATCCCTGCTCCGTGCTGGTTCTCTGCTCCAGCAGCACAAATGTAGTCCCAGCGTGGCCTTTGCCATGGCTGCAATCATGGGTTGTTATTAAATCATTCCATCAGACACCCAGGCAGGGCAGTAAACACAGGGAAAAAGAAGGAAAGCGTTCTCTGTGTAAGTCCTGTGTATATTTTCTCCATTTTCCAATATTTCCTTTGCTTTCAACCTCAACATGTCAAATTATTGTAAATTGCAAATGTACTAGTTCCAGCTGAGCACAAATGGGGGTGAAATAGCTTTGCTTTGAAGCTACAGCTAGAGTCCACTTGAAAAGCTGTAGGAAGAGCCACAGAAATGTGCAATAGAGCAGCTGAAATTCTGACCTGGTGATTCAAAGAGTTATGATTCATGAAACAAATTTTTAAAGGTACTACATAAGCCATTAGGAGAACAGCCTGTGAGACCGTCCCTGTAGCTAAGACAGCATTCACTAGGGAAATCCATATTAAAATAATGTCATTTTCCAGATCAGCAGAGAAACAATCAGATCTTCATAAATATATTTTAAAATGATATATATACACACACTAGCATTTGTTTTTGTTGCTTTTCAGGTGATCAAGGGTATCAACACACCCTTTGAGTAGAGGAAAACTATGATTAACATCTAGGGTGCAATCCTTTTACATATTAAACTTGCTCTAGGAAGAGATGTGAGCATCATTCTGCACCACTAGGCTCCTCTGTGTATTGTAACATTCTGGGAAGCTCTAAGTTTTGTTACTGGTGTCTCAGTTTTGATGCTACCTCAGCCTCTTGCCTGGAACATACCCGGGAGTGCTGGTGGGGGAGCCATCCGACAGCTTTATATACACCAAGGAGATTTCCTGCTGGCAAGTCAAGGCATCCTGAATGGCAGAATACAGCTGGAACACAATCCAGCACCTGCCCCCTGCATTTCAGTATTGCACACATGGAAATTGTGTGTTTGCCTGGAATGAGCAGAGACTGAGCCACAAGCCACCCTAGTAGAATGGGTAGTCAAGTGCCTGATGGTTTGCACACACGAGCAGTTCCTGTGACCACATGGATGAAAACAGATTAGACATCCACAGGGATCCTTGTGAAATCAGTTATGCATGGACAATTTCAGAATAGAACACTAACTGGGGATAAAACGAAGAGCCTCAATTAGCTTTTCAGAGCATTTCATTATTTTTTTATTCCCTGTGGGCCACATGACCAGTTACCTCTCCAGCATTTTTCTTCATATTTGGCAACTCTTGATGTACTTCAGTGCTTCAAGTGAAACTGAAGTGCATGCCTTTGCTTAATAATCCCCCCATTCATTTAAATAGTCCATAGCTTGTCAGCACTGCTTTGTTCACATTTTAGAATTATGGACGATGTCAAGGCAGCCTTGATTAAACACTCAGCTAACTACGGCTCAGCCAGAAAGCGGCTGAAGTAAACTATTATTTCAGTAAAGCTCACAAGCTTGGAGAATGCATATTCTGTAATTTGCTTGCATCAGGATTTGTAATAGAAGAAATTAAAACTCTTAAGGACTTTCCCAGCTATGTGAGATTACCCATGAACATATCAGACATGCTGACACATTCACATACTCTTGGAAGGATTTTGGCTCAGATCTGTACCTCTCAATAAGCATGCTTTCTACTTCTTCCTTCCTTTCCTCAAGCTTTCATTTCCAAGTATTAGCATAGAAATTGTAGTCACCCCAGGGAAAAACAATGAACTAAATGGGGCCCTCACAAAAGTTTAAAGTTGGAACCTAAATTAGTCTGCCTTTGCCCACATTCTAGATATTTAATCCAGAAGAAAACAATGCCTTGCTGTCTGCTGGACATGGACAGAAACAGAGGGACACACCAGAGTTCCTGTTAAGAGCCAGGCCACATGGACACAAGCAAAACAATGCTCCATACAAGCAAGAGCAGGTAGCTTTCCAGTGGCACGTGAAGAAAAATCTATTAATTGTCCACTATGGCTCAAGATATCTGATTGCAATGCCCGCATATAAACATATGCAATTACTTTCCTTGGTGATCAAGAGAGATGACTTCGAGGAATATGCTTTTCACTCTGCTCACTGATTGTCCCTAAAAACAAAGCATACCAAGCATGAGGGAAACGGCCAGCTCACTACTGGAATAATGGTTTAACAGAGTCTCAGCTGTATTCCACATATACATTCAAATACATCAAATGAAAGTCTGCAAAAGCCTCCTTCCTCACTTGAACTACCCAGAGTGTGAAATCCAGCAGATTAATTCAGGCTTTAAACCATGGAGGATTTGAATCATCAGGCATAGACACAGAGCAGAGACCAAAGACAAAAAAAAAAAAAAACACACCCACCCCTTAAAACATTCTCCCTTAAAACAAAAACGGTGATAGAAAAATCAGTAGATGCATTGCAGAATTTGAAGTAATCAGAAGGAAACAGCAGTTTGGCTGAGCTGAGAGCGGCCTCTCAAGAGCATTGCTTCCTGCTGACTTGAGAGCTCTGCAGAGAAATTACAGGATTACCTTTAGTTCGCAGTAACAACTAAAAGTTAAAGAGTTTTTGATGTTGCACAGTTAATTGGAAAACAATCTACTGGTTTTGCTTAAAAACGTATTAAAGCAAAAATTTGTCACCTCCTTAGTCTTACACCTACAACAGTGTTTTGTGACCAGAGAGGTTAAGATTAAGAACTGGTCACTGATGAGCACCACTCAGCTCTTGCTTGTCACAACTCTCCAATAGACAGATGACAACCCACATATCAAAGGAAGAAAAAACCAAAACCCTGCACAATACAGAACTGATATGAACAGAAGAGTATGCATTTAGGCTGTGACACTCATTCTGCCTGTAAAATACATGTATGGGGAGAAGAGATCAGTTTTTCAGATCACAGATCACTCCTTTTCTGCATGTTTTCCTTAGTCCCCCCCCTCACTACCTCCCTTATTGTGTGGGCAATCCTCAGCAAGGGACTGCAGTTATCAGGTAAACTTTAGTGACCTTCCTGCTAATTGTTTTTATACAGCAGTTTAATATTCCCACTGGATATCCTAGAGAACAGGTCAGGAATAGAAAAGTCAGAACTAAGGAAGTGCTTTGGAGCTGTCCTCTCCATCCCTCTCTGCCATATGAATTACAAGCAAAAAACCAACCCCCCCCCCCCCCCAAAAAAAAAAAAAAAAAAAAAAAAAACACCAAAAGTGTTTTGTTTCAGCCTAATAAATGATTGAAAAAGAAAATGGAGTTGCTCTGAATTGCAAAACACGCTAGTAACTACAGATGAGCTACCTGATGGATTCCTTCATTTCTTTGCCAATTATTTCCTTCCAGTTTTGTCACTGCTTTTACAACCTTAAAAGCACCTTCTTGCTGACAGTGATCGTTCTTGTGCAATTTTATTGTTCACTCTTTTAGCACTTGCTAAAGCTAGGGGTTTCTAGCTTTAAGATCCTGGTCACACAAGACCAGGTGGTCCTGCCTCATGACAGGTAGAATCTATGCAGAAATTTAGGATTCTTCTTCTTTGGTACAAAAGTTGGCCATCTCTTTTGAAAGACTCATTTGTGACTTGTTGCCAGAAGACCAGTTTTCTGCCAGCACAGACTCAGCTCTGTTGACAAAGAAAGGATGACTTGACTGTCCTGGCTGCGGTTTAGATAATGTTTGCAGTAGCTGATGTACTTGGCTTACAAACCTTGACTAATGCTTTTACTTGTTTAAACAACCAAATGCCCTTTTCTGTCTTCCCTCCACTCCTACATCAGTCAAATAGCCTGTTACTGAGGTACAGCTGAACTGTTGTTTTTTGTTTTTTGTTTTTTTTTTCCATCTGACTTCAGATATTTCTTAGTCCCCTCGGTAGCTCAGAAGAACTCAGTGGGTTGAACAACAAAAGAGGGTTTTCCCTGGCTAGAGCTCTCCTTCCTATGGGGTGCTCTGCTATGATGTGAGCCCTGGGCTGCCCCCTTGCTGGCAAGGCAGAGGTCCCAGAAGCCCAGGCTGCACCAAACACTGCAGCTTGCACAGCCAAATGGAAGACCAAGAGACAGTGTGCCCAAGTGACACACAGAGGATGGCAACCTCAGCTTTCAATCACAAAAATACCAGTAAGTACCAGTACTAGCAAATTAAGCATTGTTCAAGAAGCGCAGTTCAAAGGCATCTCTGTCCTTAAGCATGTGTTGCGGGCTTCTCTCCATGGGGCTCAGCTGTCATCCAGAGCCAACACGATTCGTCTCTCCAAATTCTTCAATTTCTGCAGAATCTGGAAGCAGAGAGTCACTGAACTTCTATTGGTCCACTAAGTCGGGGGGAGGAGGGATAAGATCCCGTGGGTTCAGCCTCGCAACGAGGCAGACATCGTAGCTGTCGTGCATGAGGACATTGATGGCCACCACGTTCCACTGGTTCTCCCATGTGTCGAGCTCGAGGATCTCCTTGGTGATGACTTCGTGACGAGCTGAAAAACAGAAGCAACGTAAGAACCAGAAGTGAAACCAAACAGGATCAAAGGCATTGTTACTAGCCTCCTGTAAGGTAGCAATGAAAAGGTGCTTTCTGTGGTACCAACAGCTATGCTGAGGAGCACGCAAGTTTGTCGACACACAGAGAACTAATTGGTGCAGATGGAGACCTGTACAGGACATTCAGTCCTCACCTCTGAACAGCAGAGATAAAAATATGAAGCACTCCACCTCAGTACAAGCATGCAGGTGGCATTTCATCACACGATCAAAATGTCAAATGCTCATTTTGAGACAGAGCTAATGAGCAGGCCTACATGCACTGCCTTGTCTTTTCTTTCCCCCGACTAAACTGTAGCTCTCAGGCCCCTGGAAGCACTCCAATACTATAGCAAATAAAGATAGAGAAACCTCCAGGGCTTGAAATATACTTTATACTGAGGAATTTGTCTTGAATAGTCGGGTCAGAAGAAAGCCAATAAATCACAGCCAATCTGAAGACAAACAGCTTTTTACTGAGACTAACAAAAAATAATGAAAGAATCACCACACAGCAGAGAACTGCAATTGTCAACCAGCAGTGCTGAATTAAACTTCTTGTGAAAAGGTAAGGTCTTTCTTTGCTAACAAAAGGCCTGAACTCTCCAGCAATTTCGTTACTCAAAGCCAAGTTATTTCCTAAAAATAAAAACCATCTTTCATTTTTGCTCACTCTTTCATGTTAAAGCTGCTTTCTCACAGTAACCTTAGTCTAAACTCTTACTTTGAGATGAGGATGTGCATGTGCTTTGCTGTCAGCTTCCTTCCCTTCTTTCTGATGAATCTCTGGGTAGATTTATTAGGAGTCAGGTCTCAAAGACTGCCAAGCACAGACACTTCACAGGTATGAAGGTAAGAGCCATCACATCAAGAAACACCAAGTACTCATCTCTGTTCTGACTCCTGAAAGACTTGTGACAGGATAAACTTCACAGGGTCTGGACTGAGGTTCCCATTCAACCCTTCTATAATATTTTATTTTTTAATGTCACCTCAGAAACAATCCTTCATGTCTAGCAACTGCATCTCATGTTTGGACACTGCCCTTCTGTGAAGCCAACAGCAAAGAACTGAAAAAAGGGAAATACAGAAGAGCATCTGGAGGCATATATTTTCTTGCATTGGAAACAGACCACAAATTCCTCCAGAAAACAGCAACTTTGGGGTTTTGCTACCCCCCAGATAGTGTTATTGTGGTTTAGGCACTGAGGAAAGTTTGTGTCCATGTTACAATGATGTAGTGCCATGGGATTTAAACATCCCAGGGGCTCCTCTACAAATAGCTTCAGGATGCAAGGAGGTCACATGAAAAAAGGCTTCTTCCACCCTTGGGATCAATTTCCTCACTGCACTATTTAGAGGCACTTCTATATTACTGCAGGTCCTGCACATTGTGGAAGTCTTAGCTTTATGGAAATATTTTCATGTTTTTATAAAGTATTTACTTAAGAAAACAGCTCACCAACCATTCACCATCTCTGACCCCTCTCACCAGAGAACAGCACAATGTTTCCACCCCACAGCCCATAGTCATTTTCCCCTCAGCTGTACCAGAAACATTTTTCTTGGTCCAAGCCCTAGATTCTGGGAGCTTCACACATCTCTGTGAGCTTGAGTGAAATTAATATTTCAGGATTTGGCCTCATCTGCATAGTTCTTGTTCTGTTCCTTTACTCTGTTCTCAGAAAATGGAACGATAGTTTTGATGGCTCATTTATTGGACTTCGGTAGTTCATTAAGTACAGGAGAATAATAGGCAAGCAACAACCATCTATGAGACAAGACAACAAACTGCTAAAATACCCAGTGACCTGTGAAGAGAAGGCACAACTGAACCTGTGAACAAGTAGCACATGCCAGTACCAAAGAGCTCGCTTTTTTATGACCCTGCAAGAGCAAGCAGGTTTTCCCTAAGATACAAATATGAAGACAAACAGACCTGAGCTGTGACATGGGAGGCTCCAGCCCCTGGATTTATTATTAGATCATCTCCTTTATGCAATAAATTTTTATGCCTGGATTTTCTTTGGCATAGATCATGACAAAAGTGAGACAATCAGAGGAAAAAAATCAAACACTGGGACTGTCTGAAATGTTCTGTGGGCAACTGTAACACTTCAGAAAAAATCATAATTAAAACATCAAAGGCAGATTCAGCCACTCTTCCTCGCCAGCCTTGCTGTGTTTTATCCTGACCCTGGTGACTCACAACCTTCGGTGTCCCTTGTTTCCCTTTTTGTGTGATGATGTAGCTGTTTTTGTTCCACTCCACAAATTCTGCTTTCGACCACGCGGACTGTTGGTTAACTCTTAACCCTTGGGAGATAAAAAGGGTTTGTTGTTGGAATAAAGGAAGCAATCACTTCTGCAGTCTTGTCTTATTTAATATGAAAGGAAACAGCATGCTTTGGATGAGAGTTCATATGAGGAAAAGCACTGCTCACAATGTAGTTATGCTTCAAAAAATGACATCCCCCCTTTGTTTTCAAATGAGTTAAAACAACTGAACTCTGAAGATGCACCCACCCACCCTCTGGCATGGACAATAGAAAAAGTAATGTTTGTTAAAAAATCTGGAAGTTTGTCTCTTTGTATTCTAGACCCTACTCTTCATTTGGACTTTAATCCCCAAAAAAATGTTTAAAGCCTGACATTTACCTCAGTGCAAGTAATTCCAGATTCTGCCTCATTGGTTTATCATTTTATTTTATTTTTTTTAATCTTTTAAGGCAATACCTTAGCAGCCAATTTTGCTTAAAGTAGAATAAAGATGTCTACAGAAAGAAATAGGTTGTATTACACAGATTATCCTTTTAAGAAGCCAATGCACAGAGTTCCCTGTCACACATAGCATTATTCTGCATCATTTACCAGACAGACGCCTCACCTAATGAAAGGAATTCAGTCCCTTCCAAATGCTTTTTCCCCTACAAAATGAGGCAGTATTATTCTGTACATCATTGTTTAACCATGAGGAAGTCTTAAGAAATTTGCTTTATATTTTTGTACATGGGCCTTAAACCCCTTTGTATTAGGATCATTCAGGTAATACAAACCTAACCCTAATGCAGATACTTTTAAAGCAGTACAGTGTGTTTTTCTTACCTAGGAAAGGGCTAAACCAGCATAAGAAACATCCATTCCAGCATAAGCTTATCCACACTAGAAGTTGTAGTACTTCAGAAGAAAGTCACAGAACTCTTGGTACAGTTACGTTGTTGTTTTTTTTTTTTGTTTTGTTTTTTGTCATTCAAATGCAGGCTGAAGGCCAACACTGAACCTACAAACGTGTATTTTTCCAGTAATAAAGAACTTGATTTATAACCAAAAAAATTGTTAGAGTCATATTTCAATTATAGTAGGCTGAAAGCAAAATGAGTAAATTTCTGCATTCATCTGTGAATAAAGCTGTCCCAAAATTTTTGATACAAAGTTTTCCTTTACATGTGCAGATAAACCCCACAAAAACATTAGTTTTTCAGTGATTGCCTGCACCCCATGGACACAATCATGTTTTCTCTACAGCGGGTTTATTTTCAGATATACTCCACTCCCCAAATACGGCCAGACTTCATTTTATATTGTATGCTTTGTCATGTCATTTGAATGAGGAGAGACCATAAATCAAGATGCACCATACTTGGAAAGACCTACAGTATGACTGCAGGCAATATTATAAATATTTGATCTGCTTTTGTCTCCCCCCCCCCCTTTTTTTTCTAAACTGCATTCCACTTGTAATTTAGTATTAGGAGGAAGGACACCTTCCCTTGTAAGTGTAGTATTTATAGCACTTCTGATCTTTTTTGATTTTGCTTTGTCTTTCCTATTTGGAACCGAGCATTCCAATATTATTATTTGGAGGATGGGGGAAGGTGTTAAAGGGATGCAGACACAAAAGAATTGAGCAATATGCTTAACAGATTAAAAAAAAACTATAGCTCATACAGGACTATTAACCATACAGCTGTTATGTTGCTAAAGATGATACCAAGAAATTCACTCCATGGCTTTAGAGTCCAGAGCACTGACCTCCCAAATGCCGAATTTTAGCTCATTGGAGTCAAATCTATGGAAGTTTGCTGAAATGTGGTCAAGAACTTAATTTCTTACAGAAACCCATTGACATCAGCCAGTCTGTTTGCCTCCATCTTATGGAGGAAGAAAGCTGCATCATGGCACGTGCTCTCAGTATCTCCATAAGTTGCAACGCCTCTGCCTACTCAGTGCAGGGCAGAAATATCCAAAGTAGCTTTGGATAAGCTCACCAGCATCTTATCTGTGCCACAGCCACATTGCCAGCAGTACCCAAGCAGGCTCATTCAGAGCAGGGCCAGGTGCCTGAGCACAGAACCTCATCTGCCCTGGGGCATCCTCACCCGTACTTTCCTGAGCTCCTGCTGATATCAGTCCTGGCACTTCTCAGGTTGTCACAGCACCTTTTCCTTTCCTGTTGGCACAGTTCCCTAACATGCTCCACCTTCTCTGGCCATTAATCAATTTATAGAAAAAAGCCACCAAACCTCTAGTGGTTGAGCTGTTAACTGCCTGTTCTTTCCAAAGAAAAGGCACTTAAACATCACGAGGTGCTTGCCAGTCCCCAGAACTCATTACTCAGGGGGGTTCTTGCTCAAGCTTCTCACATCCTTGTCACCTAACTGCCACCCCAGAGCTGTCTTGAGGCAGCTCAGTCTCCAGTGCTAGTTTGTAACTGGTTTTGCATGCCATTATCTGCACCAGAGAGCAGACAATGACTTTAAACATAAGGGATTAGCCTCTGCTACTTATCTTCCTCACCACTAATAGCTGCTTTCGTAATTACATGATGTAGAGTTCAGTGACTTGGGAATTCACGTTTGTGTTGCAATGGGATGGAAGTGCATTTAGATCATTATCACCAGATGTACTGGTTCCTGATGTGCAGTAGGAAACAGAGTAAGTTCATCAAGTCTGTGGC